ATAGGAGGATGGTCTTGATAGAAGCTTCCTATGAGGTCTGCCCTATTCAGACGTCAGCAATTATCAAGCCTTGGGCTCACCCGGAGATGCTGACCAGCTGATCGTAACTCGTAAGTGCTCTTTCTCAATGGTATCGAATCCGCCCCTTAGTCCCACTATTCTCACTAGTGCGTTACTATGTTTCTGCCAATCACTACTGGTAAAGTTCCCCAATAAAGCCTGAAGATCATCAGCCTTGCCGCCATTGACCTCAAACGGGCGACTTACAAAGTGGATCATGAAAGAAACCACAGCACCTATAGCTTCATCACTCGTGCGCTTCGCCGGGTCGTTCATCATCTGGGTGGTGTGGCGAAGCGCCTTGTTGTGATATTTCAATGCTATGGCATCATCTTGTGAAGGGTAATATCCGTTGCGCCTCTGGAACAAGAAGTTTTGTGAGTTGGAAAGCATGTTGTTAAAAGCTGCCGCATCGCTGAGTCCAACGGGGTACCAGGAGCCACGGAGCTGGCTAGGATGATTGCTATCTTCGGTACTAAAGACTACGCCAAGTCAGGAAAGAGTCTGACCAAAACGAGTGAATGCGCCTACTGTTCGCTAGTAGCGCTCGACAAGAGTCGTCAAGTTCGATGGGGTAGGGGTTAAAGGGATCAAGCTGACCGCCACCAAACCGGTCAACATCGACGCGACTCTCGGACGGATTGCGAAACTCAAGGACGATTTCATTGCGCGCCCTCTTCGTTTTGGGTTTTCTTCTCGCTTTACCGACCTCAGTCATAGCTAGACGTCGAATGCGCAGTTGCGTTTCTTCATTTTTGAGATCGTCGGGGTGTGTGAGGTTCACAAAGTTGAAGCTTGGTTTCGTGGAGCGATCCATGGCGATGATTGCGGGCCGTGATTGTGGCCCTCACAGAGAGCTCGATATCTTGATATATACCCAAGGCATAAGTGAGCGCGGCGGCAAACTTTTGTCATCGACATTGGGGCTTCGGCGCCATATCGATAGCGAGACTGGGGCGGAGTGGCAGAGGAGCTGAAGGAGATGCCGAGAGCATGAACCTGCAGGGCAATCGCACAGGAGGGGCGTCATTTCCAAGGCTGCAGCAAGCGAACAAGCCACTCAAAAGCACGCGACACGAAGGCGAACTCCGTGGAAGCGAACTTCATTGTCGAGTAGGGTGATAGTGTACGTTACAATTCGGATGGACGATTGATGCGCTTCCGGGAGGCGCGTGCGGGAATTAGTAATGTAGGTTACCTGCCAGGCTCGTGAATAAGCAAGAAAGGCCTTGCAGCTGTGCCCCGTCCGTCCGCCATGATACAGCATGGCCGATAACACCGGCAAGTCATTGAATAAGAATGAAGCATGTTGTGCGCCGGAGCGAAGTAAGCTGCCCGTAAAGATGGCACTGAGAGTATACCCAGGTATTGATGGTCTCAATGGAGCTCGCAATACTTTTAAGGTCGGCAACAGCAAGTCCGGTGTCCTGCGCTACGCACCAAGCTCGGGACATAGGCCCATAGCATGCCTAACCACCCACGCATGTGTCCGCCTTCAACGCTACCACCGCATCGTCTTGATTACCATGCAGTCTCAATTCCTCCATCAAATTTGGCTCACCGAGCAGCAGCGCTTTTGCCACAACTTTCCATCTCAACACAACGCCTTCATCGATCTCCAATGGTTGCAGAATCCAAACCCTTGACGTCATGCAACTCGCGTTAAGCAAATCAGTAGGGATTGCAGCTTGAAGCTCCTCAAACTTAGCATCTTTCCAGTCTTCCTTAATGCTCGTGATAGTCATGAGAGCCTGACGCCCATCCATGGTGCATTGCAAGCGGAATGAAAGAGAGCCAATGTAGTACATTGAACGAGGATCGGTTACCCAGGTCAAGAAGATGCTGGCGTCATCCAAGTCAAATGCATTACTCTCCAACGTTTCTGGACTTGCATATCGCCGTAGTTGGTCCAAAAATCTTTGTGCTGGCATATAGAGGGCAGTGTTTGGCTGCAGATCTCGGAAAATGCCTTGGTTATAGTTGGGGTGTACAACATCACGTTTTAGCTGCTCCCATAGATTGGCAGTAAACCGAATACCATTGCTGATACAAGTGGCGATGAACCTTCGTCGGTGCTCGTCGCATTCGCTGTCCTTCTGGGCGGCAGGTAAATGCGATTTGCTTGCATCAGCGGCATACTTTGCGGGCTCTGTAGTTGGTATTGTGCCAGGGAAAACTTGGCCAACAGCGTCCAGCTCGAAGCTGTGATCTGTTGGTATACCGAGCCTTTGAAGAAAAATCATGTCGATTTTGATGACTTCGGTCGAAACCTGGCGGATGCCCTGCACACTTCCAAGGGGGAATTTTGGAATTATAGCATCGCCAGTACCGAGGCTTCGCGAAAGCCACGTCTTATTGCCCATCAGTCTGATCGATGTAGGGTCCGTCATACTGAGTGGGTATGTCTCTCCTGCCGCTAGAGCGAGAAGTGCGCTGAAATATAGCACCTCGTCTTTGTTGTTCAAGGCTTCGCCGAAGTATGCGAGGGCACGCCCACTGATGTTTATCATGATGCTGATGCGGTCTCCAAGATTCTGACAGCCTTTTCGAGCTACACTGTTATGCGAGGCCATAATACTCGATTTCATGGTCGCTGTAGGAGGTCCGCCTTGGTTAGCAAAGCCCGTGAATATTTCTCGGCCTTTGAAAGCGTTTAGGTTGATATCGTTGTCATGAGACGGCAAGTCTATCGCTGTAGACATGATGACGTGGAGATTCACCCATTTCATCTTGACTATGGAATCACCCGGTCCATTCATGAAGAACGTCGCGTTGTGATTCCTGTATCGCTGCCTTTTGTCGCTCCATGGTTCGTTGACGTTGAATTCATGGAAACACCAGGCACGATCCCACTACAAGGTAAGAACGAGCAAGTCAGTGTGTGCCCCAGGATCTCCGTTTTCTTGAAGCTTCACGTACCCATCTCGCTGCGTTGATCTTCTTGTATAAAGACAAATAGAGTGGTCTAACCTCCGGCTCAGGTAGCCATGCCTTGTGCCACTGTATTTTGGAGATTTCGAAGTTCTCCACGAGGTACGTCTCCGCCTCAGTAAGTTTCACGTCTTCTAACAGAACCAGCAGACGCATGCATGATCGATAAATCACATCCATGGCGGCAACAGACATCTGCTTGTCGAGAGTGTCTTCTTGGTCAATGCATAGCTGATCAATCCACAGTCCTATGCGAGGGTGCTCTTTCTCACACAGAATGGCATCTACAAAGGGTTTGCTGAAGGGCCAACGATCGTGCGGTTCATAATTCGAGTTTGGATAGTCGCTTGAATGCCAGCAATAGGAGATCGCGAAATACTGTCGTGGATACAGGTCTTTGTCGAAAGTCCCCCGAGCGTCTGAAGGAAAGACCAGACGGAACGGTGTCTTCAGGATGGTGGTAGTTGAGCGTTGGGCAAACTGAGCAGCGACATCTGGACACCATGAGGTCAAATTTCGAAGGATGAGGCTGGCCTCCTCTTGACCTTGGTCGAGCTTGGAAAGGCCAGGCTCAAACACTTCCGCTTTGTTCTCTGGGAAGAGTGTCAACTGAAAAATGTTGTCGCTGATGTATTCAATGCTCGCGTCTCTGCTGGCCACAGTCCTTGCGGTGGTAGATTGCGTGTCCATGTCGGCGGACAGGCGTTTGATGTGTGAGGCTCAGCCGTTCTTCTCCCCATCGCCGAGGATTACAATCGCGGGGTAAGCCACAAAGCTCACCATAGACCTGATCCTTCTGCATGTATCCAAAAGTGGCTGGGAAGGGGCCCTAAGTGGAGACCCCTCGGGAAGACAGTCGGCGCCAGTCTATGCCTGGACTAGCACGCCAAGCAGAATCTCGATAACATCGAAAATTTGCCCGGCCTCCCTTCTGTTTCTTCACGCACCATCAGACAGTTCAACACCCATCTCACCCGCATCTTTACGTCTTGTATCGATGCGACCCGAGATTTCCTATTGGGTGATTGCGATATAGCGCTGCGGAGAAGGAACCAAGCGATCCATTAGAGCTGGCTGCGCATTTTTTCGGTTGCGCAGGCGGTGTCATAGGAGCGGTACACACACAACCCATAATTATCGTGATTTTTGAGCAGATAAGACCTCGAATGACCGAGAGCTTGCAATGCTTGTTCGAGCTTGCGGATTATAGTTATATGGCCATCTGCAGGATAGTCCACCGAATTGTCGCGCTCGTCGTAATATTGCGCCTCACGGGCGCGTGCTATTACCGGCGTGCACATCTTTGACGTGTAGTCTGCTATTATGTCGATGCATCTCGTCAGCTTCCAAGTGATCAAAGCGTATATTCTGCCATCGCCGCCGTCGCGCATGTGGGCGATTCACGAGATACCTAGGTATGATCTCTTGTGGTTCTGCGACTAGGGCTTACCTTGGCAGCTTCGAACCAAAGTGCACGATGAGAAATCACAACCTTTTAGACACAGAAGACCTCAATAAACTTTGTTGGATAACTTTAGGTTGGAACGCTCAAGCCTCCTGCCTGTACGTCATATCAACAGCGACATGACCTTGTACACAAGGCTTTCATCTAGAATACCGCGAATGTCCTTGAGCATTCCTTACACGAGATACCTCGGGTGGTCCTCTCCATTGATGCGCTGCTCATCAGTTGGCTGGCAGTACACCGGGATCTGGAAGCTATATCCACTAGGGTTCTCCACAGCACCGTCCGGCAAGAGCTGAACCCGTGGCAAGAACTGGACGACTTCTCGCAATGGATTCAGGAAGTTGTCAACTGGGCGGGTTGTTCATTGTGGCTGGTTGAGTGTGGTCTGGCTCGTTGAACGTATTGTGGACGCAGCATAGACCACCGAACCACGTTTTTATATCGTCTAGCGCGAACAATCCCTTGCTCCATCCAAGTGTTGCCTCACATGTAAGAACCACCTGTCTGTGCGCAAAGCAAGCTACGTCCGTTAGGCAAACTCTCACGCAAGATCGACCTCCCGCCCCCTCCTTTTTAGGATGACTTGGATGCAATCAACCTTGGCCATTCCATCTTGACCTTTCATCTGCTGCTCCATATCCTTGGCTGCCCAAACATGTTCGATATCGCGCATGACGCGTTTCAAGCTGGGGAAATGCTTTACAGCACACAGCTTTTCAAATCGATCACGGACGAATTGTCGTTGTGTGCTGTCGATCGCTTCGCAGCCCGCGGTGAACAGCGGCCACATATGCGCTGATGTTAAAGGCGAACGGATGTCGACTTGTTGTAGCTGTGATAGACACTGATTGATATGCTCCATGCTTATCGGATTGGGAGCACCTATATCGAGCCAGGTTCGGTAGAGGTAAATGAAGGCGGCGTGGCGATAGGCTTCAGCTGTCGAGCTAATGTCTATGCGCTCTTCGCTATCCCTCCTCTTACATGCACCGAAATCCATGGCTAATAGGATCTGCTGAATATGTTGGCCAGTAGTATTTTCATCTTCCGACAAAGCAGGGCTTGTTGGCGATAGGGCTCTTCTCATCTTGATAGCGTGCTGCAGCTGACTGATCTTTGCAACGACCACTAGGACTTTTGCGATACTTTCTAGCTCTTTCTCCCCTTCGATGGCGATAAAGTCCATTTCATGATCCAATAATGGCTGCGAGCCTCTTGACACGGAAGATAGGATATCGTGGTATGCAAACAGGCTCAGGAGGAAGCGAGCACTAGATGTGGCAAGCCAGCTACCCCCACTGCGCCGTGTTATCATGGCTTTGGCGCCAGTCAGATGGTTCGCGACGTTGGCTTCATCCTCATCGCCAAACAATCGCGCCGAAACCTGCATCATCATGACAGTGGCCAGCGCTGGCTCAGTATCCATCTTCACTGGATCTTGAATCATCCTTTGAAGCTCTTGAATTGCGTCTCGTTGATGACGGTAGCCTTGTAGGTGAAGTGAAGCATCGTTTGATGCAAATGCGAGATGATTTGCAGCCATTGAGAGGACTGTCGATCTGAGTGCTGGCGATTCGTAGGCCATGGCCGTCAAATGTCGTTGGAATGGTGTCGCGATGCCAGTTTGAGGTGAGACTGATAACAGCTTTGAGAGCTGTTCTCCCCAATAACTAAGGAGCCATCGATCGGTTGGAGATATCCCATAGGACAGCACAGGGCTGTTGAAGGGTAAAGCAGGCATACTTTTCGCCGAGTCAGGCGATGAGAACAGTACATCTGGACTCGGAACTGCCGATTGTATGGATTCGAAGCTGATAGTCGACGCTGGGCTGAGTGCTTGTTCATCGTTGATGGCCTTCTTCTTCCGACTCTTCCGTGGTGGGTGTGCTAATGAATTGGCGGCGTCGTCCTGCCATTTCAGCTTGACTCCATAGCCTTTGCAGATGATGTTCAGTCTTGTGCAACGCCCACAAAAAGGCTTCACCTCGTCACACTTATATCCAGCCCCCCGACAAGTCCAACAGCCGGTCCTGGATCTCTTGTGCGTTGCCATCTAAACGTGCGGCGCATCTTCGGTGCTCTATCACCGTAATATTCATTCACTAGAACCACCTGAAGTTTGGCATAATCGGCTAATGGCTCAATAGGTCGCGGAAGTGGACGATATCCGAAGTTTGAGAGAAGTGCAGAACCATCAGGAACGGAAGATGAATGGTGGCAAACCGCATTAGTGTTAGCTCCCGCGTCCATCGTGAGCCGAGGCCCGCACTCCTAGCAACACGATAGACGCGAACAGCCCATCTTCTTGATCGAGAAGTACAATTATTTACAAGTGACCTGAACAGCCAACAAGCCTGATATCAACCGTGAAACGGAATCTCGCCCTCCTCAAAAGCCCGCACCCATCTGAACATCCCTTCTGCTGGATCCATGACACAGACAAAGTGTGTAACCTCATTACACACCGGGTACTGTTTCAACCATTTAATTAGTTTCTCTGGACTCACGCCTACTGCTGCATTCTGCCCTCGCTTCGCTTTACGGCCCTGCTCCTGGGTCCATTCTCGCCATTTTCGCTCTAGACACTGTTTTCGCATGACGCTTTCTTCGAGTACTTCTTGCATACCGGCATTGAGGAAGCTGTGATTCCGGCCCTGAGTATGAACGGCCTGGTTCTGGTTGGTGTGCGGATTGGCTGTAGACTCTAACGATACGTCGTGATTAGTGGTACTGATAAAGGTTGATGAGCGTAAAATTCTTGCGCTGTGGAAGTCTTTCTCCAGGATGATAGTCTCTGCGCTGGTACAGAAGATCAAATACGCCACTGATGTCTGCATAGTTGCGATGTTGTTGGGTGCGTCAGATGCATCATATGGCGGAATGATTGCAGATGACGGATCTCTTCGTTCTTGTAAAGACTTCTTAGAGAGCCTGTGCCGTTTGCGAGGCGCGCTCGGCCTAGGTAGAAGGCAGTCGCGTATGAGGGTGGAAATGCTCGGTCTCTCCCCCAGAAGCACCATGAGCGTGTTCCAGTAATATTTGATGTTGGGTCCCGAAACTCCACGGGCGTTGTGATAGGGTCGAAAGTTGAGTGAGACACTCAATCCCTTCCTTACACCTGTAAGTGCACCCACGAAACCAACGTAGCCAATTGTGCTCGCTATCACTCCGCCACCCACATCCTCGATGAAGTCGAATTGCACAATTGCTTGTCTCAGGAGAGGCATAGACCAATCTAGCGTTCGGAAATGCATCATCGTTGTCTCGGCTTCGGGATCCTTTACCATGACTCCACCGCTCGTGCAGCCCATGAGAAGGTCCAGGAAGACATTATAAGCGACGAGTAAGTACATTGGCACGCCAGATGCTTCGCTAATGCCCCTGAGTTCCTCAGTCTGTTCGTCACTGTGAAGACGACGCAAGAACAGACGGCCTAAGAGATGAAAAATGCCAGTAGGCAACTTCAAATGCTGAACTGCTTCATCGTAGAGACACGGCATCTTGCGCAGAACATGGGCGTATTCGGTGGCGACCAGCACATAGCGTTCGCGTGGCGGTAGTGAAAGGTTGATGGTGTAGATTGAAGGTGTATTGGTTGCCGATTGTGCGGATGATTCAGACATGAGGAGGTGACTTTGACTGGAAGAGGAATTGGAAGAAAGAGCGTAAGATTGAGGTTTGACGCGAGACGTTCGCGCTCTCAACTGGGGAGGCATGATGTGTTCGAGCACGGGTAAATCTTGGAAGGAAGCCACGCTCGTCCAGCGTTTGAAAGAACAGCTCCGCGACTTCTGCAGAGTTATTGATCCTTGAAGAGCCGCTCACGTAGGCATACGCGCGCTGGTGCCTAATGCTAGCAATTATAGCACCTTGGAAGAGCGGGGCGAAGCGCGCCATGATATATTATTGGATGACATGTCATACCTCATCAGAGATGTTCTGAGAGATTTAGAGTGAGGGATAGATCGACTCGTCGTGATGGTCGCGTGTGAAGACAAACAGACCAAACGCGAAAGATGAAGCTACTACCCCAGCTTTCAAGCTCTCCACATCCGCACCTCGGCTTCCAGAGCATGCTTCCCCGCGGGAGTCCTTAGCCGGCGCGACGGCCAACAATGTCGACGTCGAGCATGTTTACTACTAAGCTCGCGTTTTTCTCTCTTCACGCGCATCCTTTCAATCGTCCCAAGTAGTAGACTACCTCCAGCTACCTCGTCATGCCGTCCGCAAACCAACCACCTCCACTCGCAGACGTACGCGTCCTCGAGTTTGCAGGACTAGCCCCAGGTAACCTCAAACTCCCTTCGCAAAGTAATCCCTAGGCTCTATCTAACAGTCTTCAGGCCCCTTCGCGGGCATGCTCCTAGCAGACTACGGCGCCACTGTCCTCCGCCTCGACCGCGCACCCTCAGCCCCATCCTCCGATCAATTAACGCGGCGCAAAACCTCGATATGCGTGAACCTCAAATCGCCCGCGGGCCTCGCCCTCATCAAGAAGATCATCCCTCAAGTCGACGTGGTAATCGATCCCTTCCGACCTGGCGTCCTCGAGAAAGCCGGTCTCGACCCTGAACAGGTGCTGTTGAAGTTGAACAAGCGATTGATCGTAGCTCGCATGACGGGCTTCCGTCGGGATGGCAAATACAGTCAAATGGCCGGGCACGATATCAACTACATTGCTGTATCCGGCGTGTTGAGCATGTTTGGCAGGAAAGGGGAAAAACCGTATGCGCCGGGCAATGTCGTGGGAGATTTCGCGGGAGGCGGCGCAATGTGCTTCATTGGTATATTGCTTGCGCTGCTGGCGAGAGAAAGGAGTGGCTATGGACAGGTTGTCGAGGCGAATATGGTTGACGGGAGTGCGATATTGGCGACTATGCCAAGGTTGGGATTGAAGACAGAGGTCTGGAAGAGGGAGAGGGGCACGAATATGCTAGATGGTGGTGCGCCATTCTACGACACGTATGAGACAAAGGATGGAAAGCACATGGCAGTGGGCGCTATTGAACCCCAGTTCTACGCCGCTTTACTCAAGGGCATGGGTCTGGAGCCGTCGGATCTACCTGGTAATAGGGACGACAGGGCGGACTGGCCAAATTTGAAGGACTTCTTTGCCGCCGAGTTCAAGAAGAAAACGCGCGAGGAATGGGAGGCCATCTTCGACGGAACAGATGCATGCTGCACGCCCGTGCTAACGCAGGGTGAACTCGAGACCCAGGGCTTCGATCAACGGCCGGCTGTAACTCTTAAGTCCTCACCTGGATATGCGATACACGATGGTCATGATGGGAGGTCGGCAGCAGAGGGCCAGGGTATAGGAATGGATGGCAGCGGATGGAGCGAGAAGGGCTTGAAGCCTGGCAGTGGGGGCGAAGATACATTGACCACATGGATGGGATGGACTAAGGGTAGGCATTATGTCGAGGACCAAGGGGGCTTGGTTTGGAAGGACTCTGCAAGGTTATAATCATGTCAGATTCTCTACTCATTATCATTTGTTCACATGAGCGCTTCTTGTGTTCGTCAAATCGCCAGTCAAAGGCTGTATATCTTCAGTTTACACATATATTCATACAACCCGCAGTATGTCGTCTTGTTGATTAGGCCCTGGCCTTCCTCGCTTTCGGTTTGCTAGCTTTTTTGCCAGCATTCCGGAGCCTCTTCCTCTCTATGTTCGCTTGGATCCTTGTGCTCCTCTTCCTCCAGGCCGTCCATCGGTCACCCGGCACAAACTCCTTGACCTGCACACCCGCCTTCTCGGCCGCACGTCCAATCTGCCAGTTGGCTTCACGGTACGCGTATCCCTTGCCAGCGGTCAAGCTCAATCCCTTCCGTGTCGCTTCGCGCGGGGTATCGCGCACGCTGCTTGGGCTGCCTGTGCCGTCGCCAACTTGTAAATCGGTTATGACAACTGCGTCCGCAGAAGGACTCGTTGATGAAGTGATAGGAACGGCGAGCATGTTTAAGCGTCTCCGTCTCGCCGCATTTGGTGGGTATGGAAGGGTGTGGTCTTTCTCGAGGGCGACACCAATGTATTGCCTCTTTGGGTGTTTCTTCGGGTCACGGTAGTATCGTACGTAACCAGACTCTGTCGCGAAGATGCAGTGGTCGCGGCCGAATTTGCAGTTTTCGCCGGGAAACCAGGCCGTTCCTCGTTGTCGGAAGATGATGTTTCCTGGGATGACATACTCTCCTGCAATGCCGTTAGCCAGGCTCCTAACTGCTTCTTCAAACTGTAAAACATACCTCCGCTCTTCTTTGCTCCTAAACGTTTACCAGGTCCATCTTTTGCTCCGTTGGCTCGTCCTTGGGCCTGATGCGCTGAGTGCCTTACGAAGGAGAGAACCGGGGTGGGCGCCGAGGTGCCATTGGCCACGCGGAGGGCGTCGAGAACACGTGTAGATGGCGCGATGAATGTCGTGGATGTTGCCAATGAGGCGCGGACGGGCGCAAATATCCGTGGGAGCAGCATGGCCGCTCTGGTGCTGGAGAGGCGGGCCTTCGAGTGCACTGCGACTTTTCGAGATGCTCGGTGGTCCGTGCATGCTCCGCAGGCGACTGCTACGCCCGCGCCGTCGCCATGGC